ACTCGCTAAAAAACGCTTACCAGAAAAAATAATCCAAACCATTTTAACTCTGCCCTGGGAGTTAGAAGGTCTTCATTTAGAAGAATTATGACGCTTCATGGTGAAAGCCGAGTTCCTTCGGAAGCCACGAGGCCGATACCCTTTCTAACAACCAGAGCAAAAAGTTTTATAGGTACATGGAACGTTCGAACAATATGGGAAACCGGGAAGACCAGTCAAATATCAATGGAAATGAAGAGATACAACTTAGCAGTACTGGGAATCAGCGAAACCCACTGGACCCAAGCTGGACAGAAAAGGCTAGCTGCGGGAGAGATGCTGCTATACTCCGGTCACGAAGAGGACAATGCTCCACACACTCAGGGAATCGCTCTTATGCTGTCCAAAGTAGCACGAAATGCACTTGTAGGATGAGAATCTCACGGATCCAGAATCATCAAAGCATCATTCTAAACAAAGAAGGAGGGGATCTTAATGAATATTATCCAATGTTATGCACCCACCAATGATAGCAACGACGAAATTAAAGATCAATTCTACGTGCGGCTGCAGTCAGTGATAGAGAAATGCCCAAGAAAGGACCTCACCATTCTGATGGGAGATCTAAATGCCAAAGTCGGAATAGACAACACTGGATATGAAGATATTATGGGACGACATGGACTGGGAGAAAGAAACGGAAATGGAGAAAGATTTGCAAATCTATGTGCATTCAACAAATTGGTCATAGGAGGCACAATATTTCCACACAAGCGTATACACAAGGCTACATGGATCTCACCGGACCACACTACAGAGAACCAAATAGATCATATTTGCATCAACAAAAAATTCCGAAGGACAATGGAAGATGTGAGAACCAGGAGAGGAGCTGACGTAGCTTCAGATCACCACCTAGTTGTAGCCAATTTAAAACTGAATCTAAAAAAGAACTGGACAACTGGACAAACAGCAATACAAAGGCTCAATACAGCCTTCCTTCGAGATACTGACAAACTCAATGAATTCAAGATAGCTCTCAACAACAGGTTCCAAGCCTTACAAGATCTACTGAAAGAAGAAGAAACTACTATGGAGGACAACTGGAAAGGCATCAAGGAAGCATTGACTTCGACGTATCAAGAGGTTCTGGGTCTAAAGAAACACCATCATAAGGAATGGATCTCTACAGAAACACTGGACAAGATCAAAGAAAGGAAGAACAAGAAGGCAGCAATAAACAACAGCCGAACACGAGCAGAGAAAGTCCAAGCACAAGCTGAATACATAGAAGCAAACAAACAAGTGAAGAGGAGCATTAGAGCCGACAAGAAGAAACACGTTGAAGAACTAGCAACGACGGCGGAAAAAGCTGCTAGAGAAGGAAATATGAAACAGCTCCACGATACAACGAAGAAACTAGCAGGGAAATACAGTAAACCAGAGAGGCCGGTCAAAGACAAAGAAGGCAAGCCAATCACCGAAATTCAACAACAGCGTAACAGATGGGTAGAATACTTCGAGGAACTCCTGAATAGGCCGGCTCCAATGAATCCACCGGACATCGAAGCAGCACACATAGATCTTCCTATAGATGTCAATCCACCAACTACGGAGGAAATTAGAATGGCCGTCAGACAAATCAAGAACGGGAAAGCAGCAGGACCCGACAACATACCAGCTGAAGCACTGAAATCAAACATCGAAGCAACCACAAGCATGCTTTATCTTCTATTCAAAAAGATTTGGGAGGAGGAACAAGTGCCGATGGACTGGAAAGAAGGACACCTCGTCAAGATTCCAAAGAAAGGAGATCTGAGCAAATGTGAAAACTACAGAGGCATTACACTACTGTCAATACCAGGGAAAGTCTTTGACAGAGTGTTGCTGAACCGAATGAAGGATGCAGTAGACGCCCAACTTCGAGATCAACAAGCTGGATTCCGTAAGGATCGGTCATGCACAGACCAAGTTGCAACACTACGGATCATCGTCGAACAATCAGTTGAGTGGAACTCATCACTATACATCAACTTCATTGATTATGAAAAGGCATTCGACAGTGTAGATAGGAGGACGTTATGGAAACTTCTGCAACACTACGGAGTTCCTGAGAAGATTGTCAATATTATCCGGAACTCATACGACGGACTACAGTGCAACGTAGTGCATGGAGGACAGCTGACAGACGCACTCCAAGTAAGGGCCGGAGTCAGACAAGGCTGTCGTCTACTCTCTCACTTCCTCTTTCTTCTGGTGGTCGACTGGATTATGAAGACCTCAACATCTGAAGGAAAACACGGAATACAATGGACAGCTCAGAACCAATTAGACGATTTGGACTTTGCAGATGACCTAGCCCTCCTATCACGTACACACGAACAGATGCAGATGAAGACAGCCAGTGTAGCAGCAGTCTCTGCATCAGTAGGCCTCAACATACACAAAGGGAAAACTAAGGTCCTCAAATTCAAAGCGGAGAACAGCAATTCAATCACACTTGATGGCGAAACTCTGGAAGATGTAGAGCCCTTCACATACCTAGGAAGCATCATCGATGAACAAGGAGGATCCGATGCAGACGTAAAGGCGAGGATCGGCAAAGCAAGGGTCGCATTCCTACAATTGAAGAACATATGGAACTCAAAACAACTTTCAATCAATATCAAAGTGAGAATCTTCAATACGAACGTCAAGGCAGTTCTACTGTATGGAGCTGAAACTTGGAGAACTACAACAACCACAATCAAGCAAGTACAGGTATTTATAAATAGCTGTCTACGCAAGATACTCAACATCCATTGGCCGGATACCATCAGCAATAGCCTTCTGTGGGAGAGAACAAACCAACTTCCAGCTGAAGAAGAAATTAGGAAAAGACGATGGAAATGGATAGGACATACATTACGCAAATCGTCAAACTGTATCACGAGGCAAGCCCTAACTTGGAATCCTGAAGGGAAGCGAAAAAGAGGAAGGCCAAAGAACACATTGCGTCGGATAATAGAAGCAGGTATGAAAACGATGAATTACAACTGGATGGAGCTAGAAAGGATTGCCCAGGACAGGGTTGGATGGAGAATGCTGGTGAGCGGCCTATGCTCCTTCACGAGGAGTAACAGGCGTAAGTAAGTAAGTATTTTTTGTTCTCAGATTTAAATAATTACACATGGAACTACTCTTAACAGTATAAATTATCTTGATTTGTTCTGTGACGAAAACCTATAGGGATGTGTTAGAAGCTTTGAATCAACTAGTAGAAGGCTTGGACATCATTTTCGTTGGTACATGATATTACTGGCTTGAAAAGTGCTTACGAATTCTATAAATCGTTAACTCATCAAAGTTGCTACTTAAAAAATGAATAATTACTTCTTTAACTTTTTTACACTATTTCATCTATTGAATTTTCGTTTTCTGACAACTGTTTCATCTATTTCAACGATTCTCACGACTCTTCCAAAGTACTCGTGTAAGTTCGTCGTTTTTTACTGAGCATATGTCTTTACAAAACCCATGCCACTGCACAGCCAAAGCTTCAGTAACATCTGCGAATGTTGCAGCCAGTGTTACTGATGCTTCTGTTATCCAGTTGGCAAAAATTACCATAATTTACTTAAGTCTCAATCTGGATCGAGCAAAAAGAGTTCCTATTCCAGCAGATTTCCTGCTCCAACATATATTACATTGAAAAGCAGCATCATCATGGTAGTCTGCACAAGGTCTACAAGTCATTTCATTGGCACAATTACAAATAAAGGAACTTCTTAGTTGTTCAATTTGTTGTAGCCGCTCAATTATCACGTCTTCTCTAATATCCGCTGTGAACCGATCGTATGTGAGCATCGGGTACAGAAATAGGCACTGTGACCTTGAAATCCCTCAAACGCTACTGATTGGCTCGTACATAAATTATAATCTTATAGTATCGGTTACTATGTTAACCCCACATAACTTATTCTGGCTTCTGGACAGGTTAATTTATCCATTCTTCTTGAGTCACGTTTTGACCTTGATAATCGTTCACTAATCAACCCTGACTGTTTTTATATGAGCATATGTGTGTGTACATCTTATCCTACTCATCACATTTCTGTAGTTTATTTTTGTGTAACTATTAATATTGACTAATACTTAAATAAATCGAGTTGGCTCACACGCCTTCTCCATTCAACGTCACTTCACTTCGCTCTCTTCTCTTCGCTTTTTCAATCTGCTTCGTTCTTCATTCTTTGTTTCTTCTCTCTGATTGCCTGTTCAAATCAATGAATGCATGAAATATATATATTCAAAATCCATACTCGTATTTGGCTTATATAATCCCGTTACTCACTAACGCGATTTAAGTCGAAAATAATATACGAGAATAGTCAGGATGCCTATTTCGACAGCAATCATTCAATAACAATCATTTGTCCACTTTTAGTGGAGTCAGATCCAGGGCCACTAAAGTCTCACCATATATAGGCCTAGGTGTATTGGACTGAGTGTAAACTGAATGCCATTCCACTATTTGAATGCTATCGATTATACCAGTCAGGTGTGTATTTCTGACAGCTTGTGTTTTCATCTTATTTTTTAATGTAATTGGATAACAAAAAGTAGCACATATATTGGAGCAGCCAGTAGAATTATGCTAATTATATAGTTTTGGACATTTTACGATATTTTACATGTAAAAAACAATTGCATTGAATTGTTAACTTTAAAATCTTACGAATATTTTCCATTTTATTACATCAAAAGCTTCTAATCATACATAAACTCTTTCATATACATCAATTCATTGTCAATGGACGTGTCAACCTATGAGTAAACTACTAGCCCATATGAATAACACTAAGTGGTCATGATTGTAAAGACCGAGGTTATAAGAAGGTCATCTAAAATTCAAGCAGCCACGAAACTATTAATCACTCAGAGGATAACCAGTCGTATATATATATATATATATATATATATATATATATATATATATATATAATTGTTCATTCCATTTTAATTAAAAATTATATTCTTTTAATAAACAATTATTTGAATTTGAAAAAAAATACATTATTATTTATCATTAACGAATGAAAATCCGTTATTTTTGATATTAATCATTACTTCAAGAGATCAGTACAGCTTAATGTGTGGTTTTAATTAAGATAAGTAACTACATGAATGAACAATTGTCGAGATTATTTCACACTTCTCAATAATGTGGTATGTGGTATTTATTGTTTAGTAAAACATTTCATAGATATGAATAATTGTTAAATAAGAAATGAACGCTAAAATAGTTAACCCAATGAACATGCCTATTTGGATGAACAAATGAATACTAGGCATTTTCACTCTATGAAAACTAAATAATTGGATATTGTTAACAATTTTCTATGTTATGACAAGCCTAAATTTGGTTTCTGTTTTTGTTCTTTTTACAACTTGACCAATTTATCATTTGTCAAAAAAAACAATAGACTTTCTGAAAAGTACTTAGTTTTGTACGATAATAAGAATCTGAGCATGTATTAACAATCTGTTTCATTAACATAGTAACAGGAAAGAAATTTAATCAACAGATAGATTACTGTACTTTCTTGAAATGATTTTATTTAGTAGACCACATTATTTTAGGAACCTCAGAAATAAAATAAGGTGATGGTTGAAGCGATGAGGGTGTTGTGGATCTAGGATGACCAATAGATTTTCCAGAACTCGTTTTCGTTTCCGTAACAGTGTTCTGTTTAAATGTCGAGATCTCTCGCAACAAATCAGTTTTATGAGCACCGTTACAACTGATATTGGTCAATGAGTTTACCGAATTAAGTTTACTTTGTTCAATAGTTCTTGAACCTTGAATTGTGTTTACGTTTTTAGTATAAGATGGTTGTATTAATGGAAGCTTTGGTTTAGTTGCTATTGGAACTTTGTCATTATTTAGTTCCGTATTACAATGAACTTTGTTCATGGAGTTATCGAAATCTTTAAAATTTTCCGGTGGAGGAATAGTATTGTTCGTTGGTAAAATACCAGATAATGTCTGAAAATGTAGTTTTTCTGCAGCTGTTTTAAATGACTTTTCATTTGATGAAACAATTTCTGCCTGTTGTTTTAAAGTTCTGGTATTATTCTCTGTATACGTTGTATTATGACAACTTTTATTAAGTATTGATTCAGAATCATGGTCATCCTCTCCAGAAGCCATTTCAATCAGACGACGGCGTTCAGCTACTGCCCTTCTAAGGTTATCTTCAAAAGATGTTTTCTTAACAGTTTGTGATAATGAAAAGCTTTTGTAAGCAGCATGATTATTAATGTCATAGCCATTAGAATTCTGTTGGCAATTAGAGTGCCGAGTCGCCGGTTCAGTAACATTTAATTCAAATTCCTCTGGAGGCGGGGGTGGAGGGAGTAAGAGCTGATCTGACCAAATATCCTGGTTCCGAGCATCTTCTAAATTTTTAGACGGCTTAATACTTTCTGAAAACTTATCATGTGATGTCTTTTTCAGAATACCTGTTGGCAATTCAGAGTTTATACTGGAAGACGTTTTATTTGGAGTTGTCATAAGTGGCGGTGGAGATGGTATTAAATTTATGCTGCTAGAAGATATAGGAGGTGGAGTTGGAGGAGGTGGATGATCAAAGGATAAAGAATTTTCAGGTTTATTTACAGAATCGAAAGTTTTTTCTGAGAGTGTTGGCCTGGACTAAAAAACATAGGACTCACATTAAATAATACTGAGAAGATAAAATATCTGCTATAAATAGAAGAGATTAAACAAAGTTCTAATCATAAACAGCTAAAATGAATGATTTAATTTTAATTACAAATAACAGATAACCACAATATAAATGACTACAGTGACAAGGAGATCAATTTAGGCGTAAGACTACCTATTTACTAAAGCACCAACTCAAAGCCTCTAACGATTTTACTTATCGATCCTTTCATTGATGATGAAGTCTGTCAAACAACATCACAACATAAAGTACATGGCTCAAGATGTAAGAAGACTTTAGGATGAATATACATCTAAAATCAGAATGCCAAGAAAATATTTCGACAGTTTTCATTTGATAGAAAATATTTTGGGCAATCTTGCCCTACGAAGCAGTAATTATAGCCTTCAGATATTCACTATTTGTCTTCAGTCTTATCTCAGTACAGGTTTTCATCCAGCTTCAAGGAATTTTAATTGATCAACTGACGTCGCTTTAAAAACCACTAGAAACTAGAGGACACTGAATGCTAGTTTTGTCCTACAACGTAGGGATTAGACCTCAAAATCTGGATTCTCGAAGAGAGTTTATTATCTGTACTCCTGAATTTATTGACAAATGTTTTCAAAAATTCTGTTTTTTCATACAGCTTGTTTGCGTCTTATGTTTTGAAAATAAATTTCACACTTCTGAAACTGTTCACACAAAATTTCAGGATTCATTATTGATATTTCTGTAAACCATCAAGAAACAATCACTGGTGGGCAGTTCACTTTTACATAAACAGGTAGTTTGATGAAAATAAATATTTTAGAGTTCACTGAAACTACAGACTAAGAACCCGTAAACGAGTGGCGGTCAATGAGTATTTAAAATAACCACAAATTAGTTCCTAAGTGATATATAGTTTCCATTCGATTCTTAATCGGTGTAAGTTCCAATTGAATTTACATTTAAGTACATTATTACTTCAAATTTCTATTAAATTTATTATCCCAGTTGTTTTTAATCACTGATTATTCAACATTTCTGGTCTCTAAAAATTGATGAGATTTCAGCAGATTCTGCAATTTGTATTATATTTTTATTGTTGTCTGATAAGAACACAATCCTCATATCAGCAAAGCCATCGTGTCCTTACTTTTTAAATATTAGATTACTCAAATGTGTAAAGATATTTCCTTTAATGGAGTTTTACATAAATATTCCACTGACTCTGCTTTTTTTTACATATTTAGAAGTTTGAGTCTGCACACTAAATACACCAGTTCCGACGCATTTAGTAAATGTATGACTAAATCGAATTGTCGCATAAAACGAACATCGATCGGAACCTTACAAAATTTTTAGGATTCTAAAGTTGAAAAACCAGCGAGCAAGATACATTTAGTCGTAGAGCATAAAATTATCAATACTAATAAAACTATCGAATCCTCAATTAATATACTTACCTTTAAGCTAATAGTCAGATTACATTCTGCTTTTTTATATGGTCCATTTTGGAATACACTTTTAGATAAAGTTCCAGTTGTTAGAACTGGTTTACTAGACGGTGGTGCGGGGGCTGGTGTTCTGTATGAAGGTACGTCCATTGAGGATACCGATGGACTGGGATCTAGTCGAAGAGACTTTAGTTTTTCTCCACAGATAAAATCATTGGACGAAGATTTATTTGTTGAGTTTTCTAATAGTATTGAGAAATTATTCTGATTTCTATAAAATGAGTCTCTACAAATGGTTTTGTAAGCATTTTCAGTGTTCCTAGGCCAATGATTTTCTACAGATTCACAATGTTTGTTTGAAAACTTATCCTCATAATTGGACTTTTTTGTTTTTGAACTGTAAATGTTGTCTGAAGATTCGTAAAATTTGTTACCTATAGAGGAAATTTTCATTATGAATACTTTATTGATCAAGAATGAGTTTGAAAATAGTTTGAAAATGACAGGAAATAAAGAAATCCTCCGTCATTGGAACAATTTATTAAATTATAACGATGGAAATGGAAGTATAGCGCTGTTTATTCAGGTAATTAAAATTTAACGAAAAAAGTGCATCGTCTCATTTATAATATTCACATAATATGCATTAATGAAACAAATGTATATTACTCAAAACCATAAGTCAGACCGTTCGTTCTAAGCGTATATGAGTATTCGTTCATATCGAAGTTGATATAGAGAAAGCCGATCAGAAGTAGCCTAATCAAAAGTTCAACCAATGACAATCAGAAATGACCTAAAAGACAAGTGCATTTCATTGGCAAAGAAATGGATAAATATCCTATGGATTAGAGTGGTATACATATGGATGAGTCTTTGTGCATTTTATTCAGTGTCCCAATACACTGTATCTCTCACTCTTGTGTTCTCGCTCACGTAGTCAGTTGGGAAGTTAGCGCGTAGCACACTGTATCAGTATCAGATTTTGAACACCACCCGTAACAACAGAAGTCCATAGAGTTTATGAGTAGAATGAATGATATATTACGCCAGTTTGCTTACAGACTTATAAAAAATGCAGTTGTTTGTAAATGTCTGAATATTTAAGAATGTAAATCCCACCAGAAATCCAAATCAGCAAACAACAAGTGAAAATTAGGTAGATTATTTATTATGGATTTTCTTTCTGTCACTCTCGATTACTTGGTTGTAAGATAATACTCTTAAAATATAAGTTATTATGTATGCATATAAAAAAATTATTTGCATCTTTCAGAATAAAACAATATCAGTATGGCCAAAATAACGGGAAAAATAGTATGAATATTGTCTAAAACTATCACTTACTTTTTGCGGACTGATGTGATAATTTGGGAGTTGAATTAATTTGATCCGAGTCAACAGTTATCACTTTTAGACCTAAAATATCACTGGAACCTCTAATAAGTGAGACAACAGCTTCATGTGACATTGTAGTAACGTTGATATTATTTACCTGAAGGAGAGAAGGATAAAATAGTTATAAATAAATGAACTGGTGTTTTACGAAAAATGTTATTCACATTATGTAAATAAGATTGGCGTTTTTCGGGATACGATATTGAAATGTTTTCGTCGGTGTCAAAAACAATCTTGAAGTACCATGGGAACAACAGCAACACAGACATGGATATTCTCTTCTACTGATAACCTATCAAATAACAATACTTATCCATACCATTGAACGACAGGTAATGGAAGAATAATATATTGTTCAGCAAACCGATGAATTTCCTCTTTTACGGCCAGAAACGTATTACGCGGTCGACACTGTGAATTGTTTAACTGAAACGAAGTAATTAAATTAATAATCACTAATAGTAAAAAATCTGCTCATACATGTTCAGTCACTTTACCATTCTCTGAAAAATTCCATCATTGTCCTCAGTAACTGTTTTGATGTGAAATTCGAATAAAACAACTGGGGTCCAACCATCTGGATTATCATGTGGGTGCTGAATTTACAGTGTATTTAGGATGTTGTTAAACGTTTTGCAATAATTTTCTGGATTTCCATTTATTTCCCCCAATATTCTGATAATAACACAAGATCGATATAATTTTATACTACTTATATTGAAAACAGTAACTAAACACGTACTGTTAAACCTAAACAAACCAAACAGTTGATAAGCGACATAAAAAGAACCAAAAACTTGTTGATATTTGTAGTCAAAGTCAGTATTTTACTCATCTTGAGGCTTCAAGATAAAAAAATTCAAAGACTTTAATATAGCTTCCATTTAATTTCCAATTTTATTGGTTATTTAAGTAATGGCAGGAACGGACTACATGTAATTGTTTGCATCTTACCGATAAATGCTACCTAAACAATGTATTTTATGATGACTTTTAAGCAACTACTTTGTTCATGGCTATAACTGCTGGTGTACAGAGATTCTTTAAAAACTGTAAAAGCAAATCATCATAATGACGTAATTTTTGTGAGATCTTTCTAAGTACGATGAAGTAACGGTTTCTACTCAGCCTTTTAAATGTTCGTTGATGGCATTGAAGCATACTAAAAGTGTCTATTTCTTTATAAATCAGTAACATGTAAGAAAAACATTTTAAAAATACTAAAAGTGAATAGTGTTCTGTTTGTTTATAAGTACGTGTGCAACCATCCATCCAAAAGTGATTATCAATCTTTCAAAAAAATTTCACTAGTATTTACGATAAGAAATAACTTAGTTTACTGTTAATTTTGACGGACGATATTACTTTTCTCACGAAAATTAGTATTGCATGTCAAGTACTTCTGTTGAAAAACAAACGCTGTAGATGTAATTAGCTAATGAATTTATAGAGCTTTATGAAGCCCGTTAGACTTCTGATACGACCAATTTTCCTAAAGTATGGTTTGAAGACTTTTTGTGAGTGTTTGATATGAAACTCTGAGTAAACTGAAAGTGTTATTTACCTGACTTCTTTTAAAAAATATTTTTTCGCTGAAATTTCACATATATCCCCTTTACAGTTACTTTTGATTATTTTTCATGGGAGATTGATGTTAATTACAATGTTCCTAGAATCTTAACGTTTTCGAACAAGTGAACTGAAAAATAACAACATTTCCATGCTAAACTAAAACAACATAAATCCTCGAACGATAAATTTGAGTGTTTAACATTTATCTCACACTGAATAAATTCAATATTAAACAAACATTCTCTAACCAACTTTCCAAGTTCATGACAGTCGTTTCTTAGAACGTTGTATGAAAAGTATAAATACTTGCATTCATACTATTCATTCAAATTTGCTTCATGTTTAATATCACTATAGTCTTAACAGTAATAATGTTCGTATCTAAGAGGTACTATTCAGATTTATGACTAAAATTGCATTTTCAAATGATCTCCATCATAACAACAGCTGGAATACACAGGTTCCAAAATTACATAAACAAAACATGAAAATATAACAGCTGAATTCGCGAATCGAAAACCTACAAGCACCGGTGGACCGTTTCACCCTAGAACGGGATGCGTCAGCAGTTCACATCCACGATCGCGCACGTGAGACTCGTACACGAGACTTTCGAACACGCGCGCAAACGCTTAACCTCTTGACCACTGAGCCAGCAATGTTAAGGTTTAACTTCAGTCGACCTATGGTATTGCGTGGTCTAGAGATTAGGCGTTCGCACATGAGACCGAAAACGTGGTTTTTTCTTAAGTAATATCTAAAGGTCACTAGAATCGATTGGTTTTCTGTGAAATATGTCTATTATTCTTTTTTCTGCCTCAGATATTTGGTTAAAAAATGACTTTAAAATACATTAGTTTGAGTGAAATTAAATGAATAGGTTAATTCACTAAATACTAATTGATACCAGTCTAAGTATGCTTATTCGATAAGTAATTAGCAATGCTTAAAAGCTTAGTATTAGCTCAACCACATATTTGACACTAAAATTTAACTTACCTCCAATATAAAATCACCTGCTTTCAAACCTGCCTTGCTTGCTGCACTATGGGGTTCAACTTTCTCAAGGTATTGTGATGCTGGACACTCAAGACATGGTGTAAAATCTCCAGATATTCCTATACAAAAAGGCCAAAGATTATTACACATTATTCACAGTTTAATCGTTCACAGAGTAATTCTGGTAAATTCAGTTTAGATTAATTTTAGTAAAAAAAGAATTAGGATAGAATGGTTTATGAAATTTGAAAGATTTTCTAAAGACATTTGTTCTAATTTGATATGACCATATGTTACTAATATCAACTCAAAGTGAATAATTCTCTCTTTTTGTTTAAGCTTTTGACTTTATTAATAATAAGCAATTCAAAAGTAACCGATGAGTAAGTTCACCATTTTCAGATTATTTCACCGACGTCAATCAACTTTTCTTCGTATACAGTAACATACATGGTATTGTAACACAATATTTTTGATCACATAGCTGTACAGGTTGAAGACAAATGAGTTCTAGGTTAAAGAATTGATTGCTTTGGCTTGATATCTATGAAAAGTATTTACTTTCTGTTGTGTTGTTTCACTTGCACTAACCTATGATTGAATAAGCTGTTTAAACCCAATCACATATTTTCTTATTGCATATATGGATTTGCGTTAAAATGCTTACTAAAACAAACCTTATGTAAAACAATCATTTATGAGTGGTAGCTGTTAAAGACGTTACAGTCTGATATTGATTTTTACACAGTTGACTAATTTGAATTATCTAGTATATTCTTTTTAATTTGACTGTTTTCGTGATTAAAATAAGTACAATAATCCGTGACAAACAACTTGTTTAATTGACCACAAAAACGGAAAATGTATTTCCCATTCAAATATTAAGGTAAAGGGATGATTAATAATTCCACCTTTTCTCTAACAGTGCTTGAATTCCGGTTTACATGAAAGACTGGATTTATCGTTATTTAGTTATATATAAATTTGAAGTTTCCAATATTAGCTTATGTAACATATTCTTTACAATTAGACCATAGTTTAGGACATTTAACAAGATAGTTATACTCAATTGGTAATTTAAAACTTTGAAAATTATTTCTTTGACAGGAAAGAATGACAGGTATCTCCAAATTAACAGTGAATAAGCATATTTTTATGGAATGTTACTAAAGTAACAAACTTAATGACTTACAAGAGATAACTATTAATCGGATTACTAATAAATTATTGATTGTATACGTTTATGTCTACACAGGAATTTGTTTAAGAGGCTACGCCCACATATGTATGACTCACGAGTACTATCCTTTTTATGGGAAAAAGTAATGGGTAACGCCTCACCTGAACTAGCCAATATACTCTATGTATATGTGATTTTATGAAAAGAATGTTAGCCACGTTCTAATAGTAATCATTATTGTTGTTATCGCCATTAGGAAAATAAGAACGAATAGGTGAAAAATGCGATTCTCATCGAGTTTTAAAATGTTATTCGTTTATTTTCCATTGAAGACTGATGTAGTGAAAGGAGCATAGGAACTAAAACATCTGATAACGTAAAATAAAATAACTTGACAGTCGACGTTTCGTAGACGAAATTCAATAAAACAAATGAAGTTGAATGTAAGAAGAATGTTGTAAAAATAACAGTGGTCTCAATTTATCCTAAGAAAGAAATTGGTTAAGAATATTAGTATTTACATGTATACATTTCCACATATATACAAATATATTTATTACTCGTTAATGTCATGATTAATACCGAGTCAATATTTTGAGTACCGATGAGTATTCTAGTCTAAAGAACTAAAACGAAAGTTATTCAGTGAAAAAATATCTAAACTTACCACCAAAATCTCTGATAAACACATTGTCAAACTGGCAGTGTCGTAGACTCATAAATAAATTTAAATCTCAGATGAGTTTAAATAAGCAACAAACATTATCTACTCCTGTATTAACTTATTCAGACCCACAGAGAACCTAAATGTTAGTTTAGATGACTGTCTTTCGTTCGAGTGTTTTCAGTCAAAAATTAATGTATATGAATGCGAGTAACCAACTCTAGAGTGCATATTCGAATTATATATTTGACTATGAGTAATCATGGTACAACTTTCATTGAAGTATTTTTTCACTCGGAGAAAACAACTGAATAGTTTATAAATTGTTACAAAAAGTAAAACATTGCAATTTAATTCCTATTCAATGATTTGCCCACCTTTTTTACCACGTACAACAAATCCAAAACCATTCGGACCTCTTTGAAGTGCAATCATTCTAGGCAAGTTGGTGGTATCCAAATCCCTGTCAAAGAATTAATTACACACAAGAACGAAAATGAATGCACATAAAAATTATTTTAATATCATAATAGAAGGCAAAATTATTACAGATCAAACTTAAAAAGTTTAGTTTATCCTAAAATATATGACTAAAAAGACGTTTGAATAAGTGATGAACAAAATTCACTTCCAAATTAGCAAAACAATAGCTCACACTCAAACAGAAATGTCCTTTCTCAATTGAAAATTATTTACTTTAGCCCGAAAAGGATACCAACTTGAAACGTGTAAATCTTCTAGCAAGTTATAATTCTTTATGTTACAAAATATAAATATTTTTTACAGCATTATCAATGCATAACAATTCAGAACGACTACTGAATATAATTGATGAATCTGAAAATAAGGCATACAGAATAATCTAAATGTTGAAACCTTGTATATCCTTAATAGAATATAATTCTAAGCCCAATCATAGAAACTTTGAGCAGTTATAGGGAAAGAAGGTCGTATCTCGATTCATTTGTAAATTATTATTACTATTACTTACAATTTCATGCTAAGTATATAAGTGACATTTCTAAAACACTTTTGTTATTACTTAGTGTCTTTAGAAAACGGTAAATATCTATGTTACTCAATATGATAAATGAATTCAAGTGAAATGGAAGCATTTTTATCTTGTCCATGTATATATAGTATCTTTATTTATTCTACCGCATTTATTTACAAATTGTAGATTGGTTATGGAATACAAGTGTATTATACATAAACGCCAACTTATATACCTGTACTTATCATAATTAAAATAAAGTGTATATTTGTTAGTAATAGTCATATGTAATTGTCTTGATATGAGATCAGTGTTAAGGCTATGACCACCACATACGATTGTTCAAAAACATCAATTCATGTGTATCAACCTACTTACAATGCAAATTCAACGAAATCTAACAAACAATGTATGTTTATTGCGTAACAGTCTTATACTATAGACTAAACAACTGCCGTATACAACTAATTACAGGATATATTGTTTGGATAAATGAATGAATGTAAAGAAAATAGCATATGTAAAATATTATTTGGATTTTGATCATATCATATGAAAAATATACAGTTTATAATCCAGATCAATAATTCGCCATTAGTGAATATTTTGGTACTGAAAATTAACTGAAATGACAAAGTCGTAATCCATTTTTTTTAAAGCAAATTGTTCAATTCAAGAATAAGTTAATGCTTGTTTAATGTATCAAATGATTTAGTTTTCAAAAGACCGTATTTTTTTGCAGTATTCATTGTAATGATTTGATCAAGGCTAAAAGTCGGACATAATACTCAGCCTTACAAACCGTAACGATTAATCGGTATTTAAAACTCTCCTAGTTAAATTGAATTAAGCCAAAAAAACATGGATTTACTTCGTCTGAGAAATGATAGGAAAAATTTACATAAAACAACTTATAAACTATGGTTCCAATAAGTCATTTATGACAGTATTTCTAAGCACATAATTATTTATTACTACATTAGAATAGCCGAATGAGAAGTTTGTAATTCTTGTCAGGATCTGTTGGTTGCTGAAAATCCGCTAAATAATAATATATGTAGTAACAGTTTCAGGACACTTTTCCTGTATTCGACTCTACTTGAATTCGAGTTTCGTGATATTAGATTTAACAAGAAGATCACGGATGATGCCAAGACCTTAATGTCTGGTAGTGATCACGACATCTTTAACCGATTGGCTTGGAAATTATTAGTTATTTTGGTAAATTCTGATTAATATTTTCTACAAAGTGGTCCGTGTCCATTGCCAGAAATAAGAGTTTCAATCAATATCTCATACTTCTCGAATTATCGAAAGATCGTTTTAATCATTTGCAATAATTACTCTAAATTAACTCTTTTTCTTTAACCGTTTACGGTTTCTTAACAATAATGAATCCACGTTTGTATAAAGCATATTCACTTAAATTGCATGGTAAAGGTAGAATAAGTGAAACGGGAACAATACTTAATAGTAAGGCATATTGATTAAAAATGCTCTGATTTACTACAGCTGCAACGGTGGACACTTTTTAATTGTGCAGCAATTTGAAGATGACTTATGGAATAACAATGCGTGCTAAACTACTTTAGCTGACCAAATGTTTTACATGCATGAAAGTTGCACTGGCTTAAGCGAACAAATAAAATCATTTAATTGGTGCGTATAAATGCATTTTCACAATTACTCAGTGTGACATCTTTGAGAAATTATATTTTGACTTGTTTGCTTTGAAAGATGATATTATATACATACTACCTAGACTTGTCCATTGTTTTCTACTAGTGATACTTAGAGGTTAGCCTGAATAGTGTTAAAAAAAACATATTTGTTTCACTGATAGAGAAGATGAATTCACTTTGTAATGCGTAAACAACGAACAAGCTCATATTGACATTTTAAGTGAATAATCTTTCTGTAGGAATCAGTTTGAATTCATATAAGAAGCTATGGACTTGATATCAGTCACTGTTGAATTTCGCATCACTGAGTGTAGCAAAATTGATGAAATATTTATTGCTGTGTACTGTGAGTTTTTCTGAACATTGACAGATGGATTTTGTCGTTGTTTAAGTTTTCCGAAGTTGGTAATGTTTTGATGAATCTTAAAGCTTATAAATTGAACTCTAGCAAATACTTTTCCTGATCTTAACTTTTAGATAGACGAGAGAGTTGATCAAATAAAACATTTTTACATAAATTAGTCTACGAAAGATACTGTAGATTCATAAGCCAGAGACTATCAGCAAATGCAGATTATGGTAGGGAACAAACCTACTACCAGATCAGGAGGAAATCAGGAAATGACGCTGGAGTTGAATAGGATACCCACTGCGGAAGTTATCAGACAAAGCAAACCCTGACTTGGAGTCCTCGACGCAAAATGAAAAGAGCAAAATCAACGAACACATCATATGGAAGTGAAGACAGACATAAAAAGGATGAGTCGTACTTGGCAACAGCTAGAAAGGAAAGCCCATGGCAGAGTATGTTGGAGATACTTTGTAGGCGGCCTAATCAAGTCGTAACTTATTAGAGCTTCAAGTGCATGAGAAATTTAGAAAAAACTAATGATATTTATTTATGAGTAATAAAAAGTACAAACAAGCCATGGATTATGGTATATACATTATGAATTGAACGTAATCATTCATAGAAAAACTAAATATATAGTCTATTAAACCGCATCAAAATAATTGTGATGACTCATTTTATGTTACATAGATATGAAAACCAGGTTTAATCTTGTTTAAAACTCAGCAAAATAAATAATAATTTTAAATAGGTACACTGTTCTAACACAGTAGTTTCCGTAAAGCATATATTTATGTAGACCGTTTCATTTTCAGTTAAACTAATTGAAATAACCCACTCATATGGAGAGATGTTTTTAAGCACTTTACCATTTAAGCTAATTCTCTCAGGTAACAATTAACACATTGCTATTATATAAATTTATTATTTTCTGATTTTATGTATTAAATAGATGGTATTAGCTAATAAATACTAACATCATTCAAATTTCACCACTACTTAAAGAGATCATGACAGAATATTCGTTACTAGATCAATTTCAAATGACATTTGTGAACTTGAGTATTGAGAAAAAAATTTAACCTTGTTACACTTCTTACATTGTTAACATAGAATGTAAGCAAAGAATAAATCAGATGAAACCACTGCTTGGAATATTAGGATGATTGAAGACTCAATGTATAAACAAATTCCTTGAATTATTCAACTATTCACTAATCATTAATATTTATATTAAAATGAGTAGGATAAGTAAGTAAATTAAGTATACTGTAAACCACAAAAGTTTATTTTAAAACACATACTTACGCAATACTATCACGATTTGCCAATAACAACTGCAAGATTGCTGATCCATTCCTAACACTATTCGTGGATGGAGCTGCAAAGAAATGTTTCAGAAATTATTTAGAATATAAATGTCATACAACCTTCCTTATTTACAAAATAGGATAGAGAAAAAACAACAAAAATGTAAATGAAACACTGATTCATAACTAGTAATGTTTTCTCACTAAATTGGCAACAAAACACGGAAGTTTGATGGTAATATTACTACCTGTATTTATTCCGTTTAAAATGAATTGAACCAGGCAGGTGCAAATATATTTCGATCAATATTGAAACCTGGAAGATCCAGATGGTCGCTTTGTTTTAATATAAGACTACTCAGAAGATCGCATACACGATCCCGCATACGGGACTTCATCTATCTATAAGCATATATCATTTCAAAGTCAGACCATTGATTTTTTTTAGAACAGTATTATTTATTTATTACTTTCGATGCTGAATATTATATCATGAATGAATAAAAGTACTAATCTTATTAAATAAACATTAAATCGACCTTAGAAAAAGCAAAATGTTCAAATAACTAATTAGAATAATGTCTAAACCTGATGTGACTAATCAATTGCGTGATATACATTATTTGACTAATTAAAAGATAAGTTCGGACGTTTCTATTGTTCTGTCATCTATCTAGTGCATTTTTTCAAATTGATTTTATTAATAACCTTTGTGACAATAAATACACATAAATAAATCCGTTCATTCCAAAAAGTTGATATAAGTAATGAATATATTCTGTGAGAAATAAGAAGCATGATAGTAATTAAGATTATAACATCTAAATAATGAAATTATAGAAGTCTAATACTTTTTTGTATTATAGAAGAATCTCTATTTATATCCATATATATATATATATATATATATATATATATATATATATATATATATATATAAGGATAAGTTTTGACAGTTGTTGCATCAGATATGCAGTTAAGTTTAATGATTAGATGAAAAACTCGGAATCATGAATAATATTTTAACTTACAATTTTACACTGAATACATTTCTAAACATTCAATTAGAAGTATTAGTATAGTTGAATTTCAGCTAACACTGAGATCCAGATCTCCTACATAGTCCTATTTTGAACTCTATGTATGGATGTACCTATGTTTCAGTATTGATGTTCATAGTGAAACTCAAAACCAATCCATTACACTTCAAACACCAATGCATTATTCACTATTCTACCCGTTGAAGAATGTAATGGCATTAATGATAATAGGTAATAGATCAGGGTAGGGATGCATCTAGCTGAAGATTCTCAAATGGACTAATGTCCGCTGCTAGACACATTTTAACTATACTAAATCCTGTAACTAAAGTCAATATCAAAGTAACCAGTTCAAAATTCAATCTTAAACATCAACAACGTAAAACCCAAAACATCACAATTATTTTATTACAGTTTGTTAAAGTCGTTCAGATTGGTCTTATGTTGAAACAATTAATAACTATAATGCGTTTCAGCTCATGAAACAAGATATAAGGTATTCCACATCAGTCACTACGCGAAGTATGCTTGGAAGCGAAGTTAAAATGATGATATTTTAGCTCTATATCAGATATGCAATATATTGCGTATATTCTGTCGTCAGTTAAGATCTAATTTATGGAAAAATATAATACAACGGTACGATATTACCATGAAATCAGTTGATCAACAATGTGTGCATAGTTTAACCACTTATAAGAAACTTTCATCGACAATTTAAATAATGAAAAGAAACCAGATTATTAAAGTTGAATAAATTATGAAGTATTTTGTTGTTTAGTAGTTGAATTCATGAGTCAATTGAAGGTAGATTACCATGGAAAACCTGGAAGCACTGGACGGACAGGTTTTCCATGATGGTCTATCTTCAATTGACTGATGAATTCAACTACTAAATTACTATAATATCCATAAAATCTCTCTCTGATTATTTTGCTGTTGTTGAATAAAGTGAACACACTGATCTATGAAACATTCGAAAATTTGGCAGTCGTATAAATTTCATTTTATTCATTCTATTTAGTGATGACTAAATCCAGCTTTAAAGTTACTAAGACTAATAATTTGATATATTTTATGATATTGCTTAACTTTTAACGTTATTTACCTCTAAGAGGTTTTCAATAATGACTCATGTAATAACAATTTCTGACTACAATTAATAACTATATCAGTGACCAATAACGTTTCTTTACATATTTCTCATATACCTATAAACGGCATTGTTACTTCTATTTAGGATTTCTACAGACACGTTTTATTCAACAACTATTTCAGTATTATTTGCCTAGAACCGATGAATATTATCATAATTGATTATCTTACTTTATAATATTCACAATTCAAATTTTCATGTATATAAAGAAGGGTTAACTTAAGATGTATGATAATGAGTTTAATTAAATATCAGTCTTTAACCCCATAAGTGTTTGGTTTCTAATTAGTAATTTTAACACATTAATGATTAGAAATCTGTCAAAAGACTATTCTAATATATTACAACAGCTTTTCTTTAAAAAACATTCAAAACATACCAGGCATTTCACTTAACTGTAATGGTATATTATCGAATCGTACTTTTGCATATGGCTTTCTTCTCGAACTCCGAGTAGTTTTTGCCATTTATAAAATGATTCTTCTAGAACTGCAGAAATTTTAAATAAAATATCTTTTTTTCCTGGTTAAATAAAATAAATTTTCACGTTTGTCTTGGAATGTAAATACTTGCCTGACTACATTATATAGTTAAGTGAAATTTTACAACTTAATACGCATTGGTTTACATTTATAGTTTAACAATGTCATTTTAAACAACCAGTTTAATTAGAGCATAAAGAAAGGAATGCATTCACCTAATTATTTATATACAAGCTCATATGCTAAAGAGTATTGTGTGTACCGTGTTACTTATTGAAATTATATCTCTATCAAAAAAGAAAATATCTAGACGTACTTTTGCAATTGATTGATCACTGGGTGGTGATCAGTGTCATGTATGTCAGGTCCTTCTTAGTGCAGATCGAATCCTATCGACCAAGTTGCAATGTGGTCACCAGTCTAGGTGACCCGACATTCCAGGCACTATGTTGAAACAAAATGATGGTTGGAGGTAGTAAACAGGAAACCCTGGTAACGTCTCTGACTGTGAAGCTGGGTGACACGAGATCGAATCCGTTAGGGAGCATAAGTTCCCTCAAAATTACAGGTACACTTTGCTGACGAGTGCCAAGTAGCACGAAACCTAGGTCCAGGGTTTCCAATTGACTACTTTCAACCACCATCTTATATCCAAACGTACTATTGTACAGCGTTCTAGATAACAATAAATATCATACCTCATAAAATTCTATATTAGTTATGCTTAAATAGAGTGCACATAAAATAGTGAGCTGTTTAAAAATCTAATTATTCTAACTAATGATTAATGCCACCTTACTACCCACACTTTAGACAGTGTTTCTACATTGAACGATCACTATACAGCAACTGACGCTATATGTATCTGGTCCATAATGCCGATCAAAATTTATCTAATGGTGCACTGACGTTCTGTACACCATGTTTTAACAAGTAGTTGAGGATAATCAACTTCTCAATTTAAAATTTTGGCATAAATCTCTTAAAAACCATCACTTCCTAAGGATTAGGGTACCTTTTCTTCATGTGTTCCAACTGGTTTAAAAACTAGGTTTGGAGTTTTCTGCCAACTACTTCTAACCACATACCTGATACTACATCTGTTTGATATGTGCTAATAGATTAAATACTACTTAAGTAATTACTTCAGTATTTTCTTACAAAAATTTACAATTAACCGTTCGCTACGATTTAGGATCTTCAACTATCGATTACAACTTATGAATAATTATCTCACATTCATTTAATTCTTTTCTAATTCATCCCTTGATTTTATTTTTAGAGGATAATAAACGAAATAAGTTCTCGAATTTCATCATAATCTACATTAACCCATTTGAAGCCTTTATTTTACGCTGACTATCTTTCACCAAAAACTAGTTCAGTAGGAAACAAATGATTTTATATTTCTTATTTTATTCAAGGTATGTAATGTTTGTTTTTGTAAACACCGAATTTCGGATAAGCTTGAAAATAATCAGATTAAGTTACTTCATTACTGATTAGATATTGTGGTACGTAGAGAAGATTAAGAGAAAATGAGTGATAAGTTGACTCATTTTTCAAATACAGGTTTGTGTTATTTGCTCTGGACTACAATACTTATAAAAGTGATGGTAATACTATCTGGCACTCTAAACCATAACTGGGAAGTCATCGTACAGACCAGAGACCTTATTAGACGTTTCATACTTAAATAACACTTGATTACACGACTAAACTCATGTATGCTTTAAAGAGCAAAACGTCCCATTGATACTAAATATTTTTGCAGCAATCAGCAAAAGATTTGAATATAATTTCCTGAAACGTATTGACTTTATATTCGAATGCATTTTATGTAATGTAACAGTGGTTGGTTGCGATCGGTTAGATCCTTTAAACTCAAGTTTCTTTCAGGTTGGCAATCCTCAACAGAGCTCATCTACAAACATTAGAACCTGTGTTACCTAATATCATAAACAGAAACATTACCACTGTAGTATTCAGGCTTTTCAGTGAATAAAAAATTAATATTGAGAAAAAGTCATGTTGTAGTCCACACTTTAATGACTACGAATGCAGACTATAGGCCAGTTGCTTGTTATTGTGCATAGACACTTTTATTGACGGAATTCCAAATGCAACAACAAAACATTATTACCAAAAACAACTAGATATGAAGTTATTAATAACCTTAAACCTATAGAATGTTTATTCAGTTATTTCATACCTTGTTTAGCAACCCATCCGCTATTTTCAACAGATTATAATGCATTACCTTATAGTAAAATTTGGTAACTTGAAAGAGAAATCATTACTAAATAAATTAATAATATCTGGTTGGAGTGGCCACTGTATTTAATTTACCTAAAATTAACTTTATCATATTAAACATCAAAAGATGACCATAC